TACAGGTGGAGAAAGGCGGGGACTGACTACAAAGGAAGTCTGTGGATAATTTAAATCTTCGGTTTCATGGTTGTGTTGATAGATAACACAACTATACATTCTTTTAAAATGCATCAGATTGTCCACTTAAAAATTTTTTTTTACGAAATATTTCTTAGTAAGGCTGATCTTAAAAATTTAGTGAGAAGAATAATACTCCTTTCTATTTTTGCAAATTTCTTTAATGTCTTGCTTAGTAGAGACATCTTGACTCTTACATTAATTTCTGCATTTAAAGTGTTGTCATGTGTTGTTTTAGTTAAAATATATGAAAAGTATCCAGTTTGTGAGACAGGTAATTGATTTCATGACTCATGTTTCACAACACACTGTGGCAAGAGTGGTTTCATAGGAGAGGAGACATCAGAAGCACTTAAGAGTTAATTGAGACCAAATTTGAGGTGAGGAAGTGGAGCTATGAAGGCAGACAACTCTTAGGGCAAGTTTCGCTGTGTCAGTAAGAGAGGGAAATGAAGTCAAAGCTGGAGGTGGGTGCTGGGTCCAGGGACGGTTTTGTTTGTTGATGGTTCAGTTGGTAAAGAATCCGCCTGCAATGCAGGAGACCCTGGTTCGATCCCTGGGTTGGGAGGATCCCCTGGAGAAGGGATAGGCTACCCACTCCAGTGTTCTGGCCTGGAGAATTCCATGGACTATAGAGTCCATGGGGTCTCAAAGAGTCAGACACAGCTGAGCGACTTTCACTTTCACTTTAAAGTTGAAAGATACTTAACCCAATGGTTATCTGATGTGTTTTTACTGCAACTCACAGTGAAAAATTTATTTTATATTACTGTTAACTGTATGCACACATATTACTGAAATAAATTTTGCAAAACAGTTTTTAATCTTTCCATGTTTTTTAAAAGTTATATTCAGATATTTTTAAATGATGTTCGTGTGTACCCTCCTTGAGCTTGACTGTCTCCAACATTAGAAAAAATTGTTTTCCGTCATTTTTTCTCAGAATTTCTTTAGTGACTTTGAAAAAATAAAAGTAGTGAGATAATTGACTTCCAAAGCCAATTGGTTATGCTTATCCAAACCATGACTGATCTTACTTTTTTTTTAAAGTGGGGACAAATTACAGAATTCCTGTGTGTTCCCTGCCTCCACACATGCATAACCTCTGCAAATACCAACATTCCCACACTTGAGTAGTGCATTTGTTACAGCTGTTGAACCTACATTGACACTCATAATCACACACAGTCTAGTTTACTTCCAGGTTCTCTCTTGGTGTTGTACATCCTATGGGTTTTGACAAATTTGTGTCGTGTATCTACCAATACAATATCATACAGAGTGTTTTCACTGCCCCAGAAGTCCTCTGTGCTCCATCTGCTCATCTCGCTTCCCCACCCCCAGCCCCAGGCACTGATCTTTTCACTGTCTCCATAGTTTTGCCTTTTTGTGCATGTCCTGTATGCAGCTGGAATCATATAGTGTGTAGCCTTTTCAGATTGTCGTCTTTCGCTAATGTGCATGCAGTCTTTTCAGTCATGTCCAGCTCTTTGCAGCTGTGAGGACTGTTGCCTGCCAGTCTCTAACCATGGGGCTCTCCAGGCAGGAACACTGGAGTGGGCTGCTGTGCCCTCCTCCAGGGGACCTTTCACACCCAGGGGTACAACCCACGTCTCTTACATCTCCTGCTTTGGCTGGCAGATGCTTCACCACTGGTGCCGCCTGGGACGCCCCTTGTGTCACTTAGTTCTGTTCGTTTAAGGCTCTTCTGTCTTTTCATGCTGTGATAGCGCATTTCTTTTTAGAACTGGTTGGCACTCCACTTTCTGGATATACCACAGTTTGATTATCCGTTAACCTACTGAAGGACATCTTGGTTGTTTTTTCTTTCCATTTTAATGCACTCTGGCACTTTTCATCCTATTCCTTTAAAATTGCTGATCTGGACCTACTAAGTTTATTCACAACCCACACTCTCACTTTCAAAAGCACAGTCCCATCCCAAGCTTATTTGTGTGCACTGGGAAAGATTCAAAAGAGAGGAGAAGTTGGTGATATAGGAAAGGATAATTGCATGTATTATATCCTCGAGAAGTCCTTAATGGAATTCAGAGCATAAATTAGAGCTTGGTCCTTAAATGCAGCAAGGACAGCCTTTGCATGCTCACTGCGAGGGAAGATAGATCACGTGTGCACAGATGAAGCAGTAGTAGTTGTAAGATGTCAGAGTTCCTGTTAGAACTCATCTGTATTTTCAGAGTGATGTGAGCCCAGCTGAGAAGGAAGTGCTGCAGTTTTGGCGAAAGTGTGAAGTTGACATTTTGGAGAATTGTAAAAGTTTACTGGAGAAAGGTAGAAAAGTTGTATGATAGTGCTGAGTGCTCATTTTGAGACTTATGATCATAAATTTAAAGCGAGGCTAGTCAGTTCACAGTTGAATGAATAATCCCATAGTGAGTGTTAGCTTTTACTATTCTGTTCTTAATCCATGTTTCATTGCATGACTGTCATAGCTAGTTGGTGAAAAAAAGACATGAGATTTTATTTTGGGAGACCCTGACTTCAAACTCTCTGTGATATAAAGTAGATGAGTATGTATCTCAGTGGTGTCACTGTACTGGCTTGACTGTCCCACTCTTGGATCCTGATTTTGGTATACGCCTGGCTTCATGGGCAGACCCAGAGATATTCTGGTTGTAAAATATGCTCTAAAAAGAGCAGTGAAGGTGGTCAGGGCATGAAGGACTTGACTTGGCACTGGAGAATATTATATTTCCACTTGGCATGGCAGAAAGGTATGATTCAAGGACTAAAAATCTTGAAGAATATGACTTGGTTGCATGTGAGCTTATTCATCTACTCCTACCACTATCTGATCCACTTAAAACTTCTAAGAGGTAAATTCAGGGCATTGAATTTAAACTCTGAAGTTTTCCTTGCCAAATGGCAGTACTCCTAAAATGAGGTGGAGAAATGAGTAGGAACAATTTTATCAGTCATAATCTCTTGGCATTGTTCATTTTTTGAGCAGGAGTTGTTGGAGTTCTTGGGCCAAAGCTGGAGTGGTGGTTGCCATTTACTTTTGTTTCTAGTCTAGCTTTAGGGGTAATTAGATTTAAAAAGAAAATCTCTTTTTTAAACCTGGGATTTTATTCCTTCAGAAGAAAAAGTTGTTAAGCCTTCTTAACTGTTACGAGATTACATTAGGAAGTTTCTTGAGAAATTCTTAAATCCATAATCTGTAAGTAAACAGTGGAGGAGACTTGTTAACAGAGCTGAATAGATTATGTGGACCCCATAGTGCTGTTACCCTTGCCTAATCACAGGATCTCACCTCTTTCTAAAGAGCTCAGTTTTCCTAATAATCTTTATGGGCAACTTATATGTTCCTGAAATTTTAGCCAGTCTCTTATTTAAAACCTACCAGACACTTTACAGCCCAACACATTAGTTTTACTGGGAGTTTGCATACACATACCATACACGTAAATATGTTGGAATTAGGAACAGTCTCTCCCTAATGTCCAAGGAACAGTCACATGTATAGATTGGGGAATACTGAAATGAGTGTGCAAATAGAGGCAAAACTAGCTTCTTCCACAGTAGGGGAGGGAAGTCAGTCAAACCTTCACCAGACAGGATTCTACTTGTCTATAGACAAGAATTATTTTTCATTGCCATTAGTTATTTACAATTTACAGAGCTGTAACATAGCTCATAGGCAGGGGATGACTGGAAATCTAGAAGGGTAGGTTTAGAAAATGCATCATTTTTCAACTGAAGCCCAAATTTACCCCTAAATGCAGTTATTCATGATACTTCACTATAGAGAAAATGGTGGTTATTGGATGAAAACAGTTTAAAAACTTTTAACCATTTGCAGTATGACTCTAAAATTGTATAGAATTTACAACATCATTTTAGACCATGACTTAAGTGTTTAAGGTTGCTTCTGTTTAAGTGGAGAAGGAAATAGCAACCCACTCCAGTATTCTTGCCTGGAGAATCCTCTGGACAGAGGATTCTGGTGGGCTGCTGTCCATGGGGTCACACAGAGTCAGACGTGACTGAAGCGACTTGGCATGCACTCATGCCGTGGAGAAGGAAATGGCAACCCACTCCAATATTCTTGCTTGGAGAATCCCAGGGACAGGGGAGCCTGGTAGGCTGCCATCTGTGGGGTTGCACGGAGTCTGGCACGACTGAAGTGATTTAGCAGCAGCAGCAGTGTTTAAGTGCAGCCTCAGCTGTTTGAACCTTGGTTCAGAATCAAAAATAGATGTCCTCAAATCCATGCTCTAACAATGAGTGGCTACTCTATTGAGTAAATTAATGTACATTAATAGTGGTGACCTGGAGGTCAGGCTTAAATTATCTTCAGAAATGTTTGAAGTAGTAGTAAAGTAAGATTGATTAATTAGAATATACCAAAATAGATTGATGGTGGTGAGGGTCTTAGATTATCAAAGGGGTCCTGTTAGAAAACAGGTAAGAAATGTGAAGGAAAGGGGGAATTAAAGTGGGTATTCTTTGTTTTTATCCATCTTTCCTAGAAGCTTTTATTTTAAACTGAGTTAATATTCTTCCTCCTAGTACTGTTATATCTTAGAAGTTAGATTGGTGTCTTTCGGAAATATTTAAGAAAATATCCTCTTTTATGCTCTAACAAAAAACCTTTTTAAAAGAGTATGGGACATGGGGAGAAACCTACAGATTTAAACTAGGAACGTTATGTTTCAAGTCTGTATCTGAGAAAGGGAGAAGATACTAATATAAAAGAAGGTTGCCACAGCATACCCCCCTCACCCCCGGGCCTTTTAAATTCATTGTAAATGAGTTCACAGGGTGCTGTTCTTGAGCACGTTTGTGTTCTTCTTGATTATTCTTTGTGTTCACTTTGTCCAGTTTTCTTCTTGATTATTCTTTGATTATTCTTACGATTTGTCCATTGTAGATGTGTAGCTTTTATAGTCCTGATTTACTGACGGCTTGAATTTCAGGTAAAAAACATAAGGATGAATTTCAGCTTCTGGTGGATCAAGCCAAAAAAGGATACAGAAAGACTGTTGGAATGTCCAAAAGAAAAGTAACAAAAGGAGAAGATGAATCTACAGAAAAACTATCCTCTGTATTTGTGGGTAAGAGACTTTAATTAAAAACAGAAGTATATTGAATTTTACTATTTTTAATATAGAAAAATAAAATCAAAGGACTTTGGACTTACTAGTATATTTAGACCTGTAGCAGTTGTTGGGTGTAAACTAGCTTTATTACTCCAGAAATAAATGAGTGGGGAGGTGTCCTGAAGATACAGTTTCTAAAAATCTCTCTTCCTTTCAGTGATAAATCAGAAGTTTCTTAGTTGTTTAAGCTTGAGATATAGGATTTATTGCTGCCCATCCTCAGATAGCCTACAAAGAGAATAAATTATTTTTACTATAGTTCACTGGTATTTACTTTGGATGGAATGTTTTGCTAAAATATCTAAAGCTAATACATCGCACATTCCTTAATTTTAGCCCATTTAAAAATTTGAGATTAATATTTATATTGCCAGGACTTTAAGTGAAGTGAAAATCGCTCATTCGTGTCCGACTCTTTGCAAATCCATGGACTGTACAGTCCATGGGATTCTCCAGGCCAGAAGACTGGAGTGGGTAGCCTTTCCCTTCTCCAGGGGATCTTCCCAACCCAGGGATCGAACCCAGGTCTCCCACATTGCAGGCGGGTTCTTTATCAGTTGAGCCACAAGGGAAGCCCAGGCCAGTGAACAAAACAATCATAATACAGGAAAGTGCACAAGAAAATTCTTTATTTTTTTTTTTTTACTGTGGTAAAAATATGCATAACATTTATCATTTTAGCCATTCATAAATATACAAGTCAGTGGCTATGAGTACGTTCACAATGTTGTGTCACCATCATCACTATTCCATTCAAAACGAACCTGTGAAATAATAGCTCTTCCTCTTTCCCCACTGGCCCTTAGTATTCCCTGGTCTACTTTCTGTGTCTATGAATCTGCTTCTTCGGGTACCTCATAAAAGTGGAATCATATTATTTTTTCTTCTGTATCAGCTTATTTCATTAAGCATAATGTCTTCCAAGGTCCTCATTTTATAGCATATATCAAAATCTGTTACTTCTTATGGCTGAATAATATTCCATTGCCTCTATAGACCATATTTTGTTTATCCATTCATTTGTAATGGGCTTTTTCCACCTTGTGGCTATTGTGAACAATGCTGCTGTGTGCATTGGCGTTCATGCATCTGTTCAAGCCTCTGCTTTCCGTTCTCTTGGGTAAATACCTAGCAGTGGCATTTCTGGTTGTCACAATAATTCTTTGTTTCCATTTTTAGAAACCACCAGACTATTTTCTGTAGTGGCTGTGCCAGTTTACATTCCCACCAGCAGTGCTTGAGGAGTTCAGTTTCTCTGTATGCTCATCACTTGTTATTTTCATCTTTCTTACTGAAACCGTATTGGTAGATATGAATTTGTATCTCATTGTGGTATTGATTTATATTTTTCTAATGACTAGTTAGATTAAGAATGTTTTATATGGTTATTTGCCATTTGTTTTTCTTCTTTGGAAAAATGTCTGTTTAAGCTCTTTGCTCAATTTTTAATTGGCTTTTTTGTTGTTGTTGTGGTTGAGTTTTAGGAATTCTTTAAATACTCTGAATATTAATTCCTTATATAAAGTTTTTCTCTGTTGTCTTTCTGTTTCCATGATAGTATCTTTTGATGCAAGAGTGCTTTGTTTTGATGAAGTTCAGTTTATCAGTTTTTTCTCTTGTTGCCTATGCTTTTGCTGTTATATTCATGAAGTTGTTGCAAAATCAGTGTCATGAAGTTTTCCTCTTTTTTTCTCCTAAGGGTTTCATACTTTTAGGTCATGTTTAGGTCTGTGGTCCACTTTGAGTTAATTTTTGTATATGGTATAAGTAAGGGTCCGGCTTCATCCTTTCACATGTCAGTAATCCAGTTTTCTGAATACCATTTGTCTAAAGATTATACTTTCTCCATTGAATGCTTTTGGCCTCCTTTCTGAAAATCAGTTGACTGTATATGTGAGGGTATATTTCTGTACTGTATGTTCTGTTTAATTGGTCTGTATATCTGTTCTTACACCATTAAAACAGCTATCCTGTTTTAATTGCCATAACTCTGTAATAAATTTCAAAGTCAGAGGATATGAGTTCTCCAGCTTTATTCTTCCTTTTCGGGGTTGTTTTGGCCATTTGATTCCTTTACGATTCCATGTGAATGTTGAGATGGATTTTTCTATTTGTCAAAAAAATAATCCGTTGGGATTGCATTGTATTGCTGGATTGCTTTGGTTCGTTGACATCTAAATATTTTATCCTTTTGGTGCTGTTGCATTCTTTATTTTTGTCCTCTGTTCTCCTGGTGTTATGTAGAAGGTTGCTGACTGAGTACAAGGTTTTTTGGGTATATTCTCTGTGGTCTTTGTCAGCAACTTAGTTCATGCTGTTGTTAAAATATGTTGCCAGGAAGCAGTTTAATCCCTGAGAAAATCCAGCTTATTATCTCAGATAAAGAGAATATTTTTGTTTATTGGTTGACTCTCTTTTGAAGATGATTGATTGCTTACACTCAGGAGTTGTGTGTTCTTTGTGTATGTGCGCATGACTTTTACTCTCTCTAGGGTTCAGAGATGAGCACTGCTGGTAGATTGCTGTGTGTGAATGCATGTGTCTGGGAGTGGTGGGGAGTGTGAGAGAGAGAGAGAGAGAATGGAACAGGCTGAAAGGTTGGGCTTTGTACAGTGTCATACAGCCAGTGTAACATTTGCTCTTTACAATAACTGGCTTATCAGAGTGCTAGCATAAGTGCATGAGATATGTGTCCTCTTAAGTAGAACCTTCATCTGTTTTTGATGCATGTCTCTGGAGAAGTTTGATGTTGGGGGCCTCATGCATTTGGCTTTATTTGGAGTTCTCTCCTGAGATCCATGGACAGATAAGTAGGATAACTGACTTTCACTGCCCATGCTTGTTGAATGATACTTGCCTGCAAGAGGAAATTTATCCTATAGAAGCTTACATAGAGTGGAAGGGGCTTCCCTGGTAGCTCAGTGGTAAAGAATCTGCCTGCCAGTGCAAGAGATATGGATTCCATTCCTGGTCCAGGAAGATCCCACATGCTGAGGAGCAGTGAAGACCATGTGCCATAACTATTGAGCCTGTGCCCTAGAGCCCAGGAGCCACAAGTAGTGAAACCTGCATTCTCTAGAGCCCATGCTCTGCAACAAGAGAACCCACTGCAAAGAGAGGCCTGTGTGCGCTACAACTAGAGAAAAGCCCGCAGAGCAACAAAGACCCAGCATAGCCAAAAATACATAAATTAATTAAGATTTTCTTTAAATGAAAGAAGTAAGAGAAGAGTATAAATCAGGTGTAAAAATAAAAGATAGTCTTATGTTAAATTCCTTCTCCCTGGATTACCAACTTGATTGTATTCACCCAGAAAGTTGAGTGATAGTCACCTGGGTTCAGTGGGTCATTGTGTTCTCTTAACCTGGTCATAGGTGTCTGTTTCCAAGAGAAGATCCTAGAGATCCTGTCTTGGTTAGCTGCTCATTTCCATTTCTAAGATAAACGTTAGAGGATATGGCTTGTACTGGTAATGAGCAGGCTTAGTGAAAGCCAGACAACATCAGGAGCTTAGTTTTATTTTTATTTTTATTTTTTTTCCATTTATTTTTATTAGTTGGAGGCTAATTACTTTACATCATTACAGTAGTTTTTGTCATACATTGAAATGAATTAGCC